ACCTTAATTGGCATGACATTCATGGCGTTACAATAATTTTTTTATTTCAACCGTCCAATAAACAGTCGCCGCGTTAGAGCGTTGTTTATGGAATAGAATATGAACAGCTGACATTCACCTGTGAAACTTAAATTAAGCCATAGTAACGAATATATATATATATATATATATATATATATATATATATATATATATATATATATATATATATATATATATATATATATATATATATATATATACCTGATGATTCCTATACGGATGAAACACCACTAATGGTTCCTATACGGATGAAACAGACTGTTGTGGTTTTTTGAGGTAAAACGAAAAACTATATATATATATATATATATATATATATATATATATATATATATATATATATATATATATATATATATATATATATATATATATATATAGTAATTCAAAGGTGGCGGGTATATATGTACTATTTAAAGCACGCGTAGGAGTATTTTATCACATATAAAACACGACGCGTAGCGGAGTGTTTTATATGTGATAAAACACGACTACAAGTGCTTTAAATGGCTTCAAAAACGACTCATCTTATACGAGTTCATTGGCGAAGTAATTTTTAAAATAAACTTTATCTAAACCGAGAAAATCAAAGCTAAAAAGTTTATGTAAATTAACATTATTTTTTATCCCATATAAAACCACGACACGCTTATGATTTTTCTTTGTATTTTCTCCTGAATTATTAATGACTTTTTGAAATATATATATACACGCCACCTTTGAATTACCAGCCGCGTTTCTGTGTTTTTCGCCCGCTTTATCTCTGCTTTTTAGGCCCTCATTATATGAAGGCGAGTTACCCGGCTAAGCGAGTTGAAAAGCGCATGAGATCAAAGGCTTAGGCTCATTAGCCATTCATTATATGCAGTTTTCAACTCGCTTAGCCGGGTAACTTGCCTCCATGCATATAATCAGCCCTTAGCCAAAAATGTTTAAAAACTATAGAGCTTTTACAATACAAAATTTAGCAGAAAGCAAGAAGGAATAGACCAAAGGAACAAAGCAATTTATCTATACTGTAGTTCTACGTGTAAAAATAGTAAAATTAACCGGCTTGGCATTCGTCGAATTTGTTTTTGTCTCGACAATTTTTGAGCAAAAGCGTGCAAAATAGCCGAGATTACCGAGAAAAACCTTGAAAAAGATACAGGAATACCAAAAACATAGAAAAGGGGGAAAAACTGAACATAACTCATAAGTGATTTAGAAAGTACTGTCAATGCTTCTGATAAAAACTGCTAGATATATTTTCGCCGAAAGGCAAAAAATACAATAATTTCAAAAATTGAAACTGCATTTGTTGCAAGTTATCAAATAGATTTGTCATTTACAAACTAGTTCAAATATTATATTCTTTTGACAATTTAGTGCCGAAAGACAGTGAAAAAGATATGATCAGAATATAAATTCTTTGGCTCTATCGTTACTTACGCTGCATACTCAAGAAAGTTGAGTCAGTACAACAGCAATTCCGATGTTTGGCGCGACAAAGGTTAAAGTAACCGAGTCTAATAACGAATTAACGGTTCATTCCAAATTTCATATTTGTTGGAGTCAAGTTCCACACATTTCTTTTTAGTTGCAATCGAATGCCCTCTATGTTGCGTCTTTCTACATTTTCTTCGTCACCATAACCTTGCCGACCCATTATAAATAACCCACAACGGTCTCTTTCTTGCCTTTCTTGATGATGTGTATCGGCTTTGTGAAGTAAAAATCTTAAGTCTACCAACTGTTGCCCCTCTAAGGTATTCTGATTATAATTCATCATGTTGTACATAACGTTGCGTGAGAGTTCCATTTTCTTACAGTGTGATGTGGTATTTGCCACCCATCGATTTTTTATACCATTCATTGCTTTCCCGACGTATACTTGTGTTATGCCAAAATTGTTCCCGTGGGCGGCATGCATGGACTGGTTTTCCTCGTAGTCGTCCTCCTCAAGTACTGCCCAGTAAAGATGGTTTCCTCTGTTGGGAAAAATTGCACGATGATCATTTTGCACTGAATATTTTGTTATGTAATTTCTCAGTGGAACGTTAGTTATCCAGTTAATATCTGTTTCCCCATCAGTTACTTCAAATACACTTCGATCACGGTTACAGATCCATTTCTTCCACGTCCAACGTTTGTCAACTGCTGTACGCACATATACAGGGGGACAAAGTTGCCGATGAGTGAGATGACGAATTTTATGCAATTTTTCCTGTGCGTGGTATAGCCTTGAAATCACGTGCGCTTTTCTTGTGTCGTACGTCATAACGTTTTCGCCTCCAACATTTTTTAAGTCCTGACAAAATCCGTAGAAACTGAACTGATCAGGATGCCCAGTTTCTGTGCGCCATTTGAATTCGTACTGCGTTGCGAAAAGTTTTTTCACCTTTTCACGATTCGCATCGCCATGGGCTGCAAGAATGCTGACGAAGTTTCGTGGAGATTTGTATTTTTCATTTCCTTGAGATCGAAAATTATTATGTCCTAACTGTACGTTTATTTCTAACTTTCTTCTTAAGGCGTTGTAGTCTTCTACTGTTAAATTCTTTGAAATGTTCAATAGGGATGGGGCGTCGATTTCTCTCACCGCATTCCGTTTTCTCCTATAGCGTTCTGAAACTGAGTTTTCGATGTTAGCCATTAAGGTTGTTATCTTCTTCGTTTTTTTTGTTTTGATCCAATTTGCAGGTTAGTTTCTGTGATTTGATTCCATCTTAGCTTTCTTATAAATGCTCTGTCCTGGAACACCTTAATATCTGCAGATCGAAATCTGCAAACAGTTCTCAGTTCTGGAAGAGATTAGTATATAGCATTAAATAATCGTGAGCACATCAAGTTCTGAAAATGTATACATATAAACATGTAAACGCATTTGATAGTATTGATAATTTGTTTCTGCTTAAAAAATTCTCTCATTAGGTGTTTCCAACGAAACAGTAGTTTGGTTTAAGAGCTACTTGTCGGACAGAAAACAGTCAGTGAGGATTGGACACAAATTATCAGACACTCCTTAACTCGGTGCAACATGGCGTGCCCCAAGGTTCTATACTTGGTCCTTTGTTTTCAAAATTTATATAAACGACCTGTGAACCGTTCCTGATGAGTGCCCTTTAGAGTCCTATGTTGATGATTCAATTGTTTACCTGTCGTTTTCAATTAAAAACATAGAAATCGCCTCAACTTGCAAACAGTTTAAAGAAAAATGCTGCTTACTGTTGTTCTAATAGTTTGCTTGTTAATCCCGAGAAGACCAAGCTTCTTTTATCTGGGACGCCTCAAATGCTTGAAGGTGTACATGACTTTCGAGTGACTTTTCTTCATAAACAACTACAACCAGTGTCTTCTGCAAAGGATCTGGGAATGGAATTGGACGAATGCCTGAGCTATGATGAGCACATAATATAACAAAATTAGTTTCAAAATGCATAAAGTCTCTGTGTCAAATAAATCGAATTAAACATATTTTAGACGATTGCACTCGGATAACGGTATAATAAACGCTTTGATATTCAGCAAATTATACTATTCTTCATTTGTGTGGGCGAACACTTCCAACACAAACTTCGCCAAACTACAAGGTGTGCAAAACTTTGCTGAGAGAATCGTTACCGGAACGTTACACGTTACATGACCATTTAACTCCTACGTTACCCCAACTTAACTGCATGGTTAACTGTTTGTATGCTGCGTTATAATAACGCAGTTATGACATTCAAGTGTTTAAAAGGTCTCCGCCATACCTCTTAGATGTCCCACTTTATAGGACGGCTGTGGGGCAGCATGATACAGGGAGACAAAACTATATTGAACAATCCACTGAAGAACAAAAAAGACATTTTTATAGTCCGCAAATTTTTAAAGTTCAGTAAGAAAGCTTTTGTATAAGGAGTGGACTACTTAATACCCCCTCACATTTTTAGGAATTAAGTACCTCAATTAAATTTTTAAATTATAGTTTTAGATAATCTTAAATAATTTCAAATCTGTAAATATAATATAGTTGAAGTTTTAGAAGAACATATATTAGTCATTATTATATCACTTGTAATTGTTTCTGAAAGACCATTTTTGGAGAAACAAACATTTATAATAATAATAAACATATAAACATGTAAACCTTATACCTGCTATTCTAGCGTTGTTTATGGAATAAGAATGTGTGCACGCGCAAACTGATGACAAACTTAAACTGGAGCCATGCATATACATAACGAAGCTTTAGTGCTTTGCATGCATGGTAACTGCAACGTTCAAAAGTGAACTATGAGTCTATGTATAAAATGATTTGTGTAGTTGTTTTGAATTTCTTGTGTTGTGCTGATGTACTTTATCTTTCGTTAGAAAGTAATTATATAGAAAGTATAATGGAAAGTAATGTGTTTGGTAAACCTCCTGTACAGTTAAATCGAAACATGAACTGTCTAGTTAGATAATTATTAATTTGAGACACATTTAATATTCTCAAATTTGCAAATGATAATATTGTCATAAACTGATATGTTTTCATTTCGTTGTATGCTCACGCCATGCAACCAGGCCTTGTCAAACATTTTTGGGTGGCAAACCGCACAGGGAAATTGAAATGCGACGAACACAGTGCTGTATTGTTTATAAGTACTTTTACTTGACCAAATCACTCCTTCACTTGTCATTCTCTGTTGCTGCGCGGTTGATATATCATATATACATGCAGTGTATAACACAATTATAATTAGTATAGTCAGCGATATAGTCTGCAATCTGGTTGGTCAGCAATTATTTGCAGGTCATCAAATATATAGATATGTCATTTATAGAAACTAGATCATATATTCTTTTGAAGATTTGGTACTGAAAGACTGAGTGAAAAAGACATGATCAGAATATAAATTCTTCGGCTTTATATATTTATGCTTTGCATGCTCAAGAAAGTGGAGTCAGTACAACAGAAATTCCGATGTTTGACGTGATGAAAGTGACCGAGTTTAGAAACAATTCATTCCAAATTTCATGTTTGTTGGAGTCAAGTGCCACACATTTCTTCCTAGTTGCAATGGAATGCCCTTTATGTTGCATCTCTCTACATTTTCTTCGTCACCATAACCTTGCCGACCCATTATAAATAACCCACAACGGTTCCCTTGTTGCCTTTCTTGATGATGAGTATGGGCTTTGTGAAGTAAAAATCTTAAGTCTACCAACTGTTGTCCCTCTAAGGTATTCTGGTCATAATTCATCATGTTGTACATAACGTTGCGTGAGAGTTCCATGTTCCTACCATGTGATTTGGTATTCGCCACCCATCGATCTTTTATACCATGCATTGCTTTCCCAACATATACTTGTGTCGTGCCCAAATTGTTCCCGTGGGCTGCATGGGACTGGTTTTCCCCGAAATCGTCTTCTTCAAGTACTGCCCAGTAAAGATGGTTTTCTCCGTTGGGAAAAGCTGCACCACGATCATTTTGCACTGAATGAACTGTTATGTAATCTCTCAGCGGAACGTTTGTTATCCAGTCTATATCTGTTTCCCCATCAGTTACTTCAAATACACTCCGATCTCGGTTACATATCCATTTCTTCCACGTCCAACGTTTGTCAACTGCTGTACGGACATACACAGGGGGGCAAAGTTGCCGATGAGTGAGATGACGGATTTTATGCAATTTTTCCTGTGCGTGGTATAGGCTTGAAATCACGTGCGCTTTTCTTGTGTCGTACGTCATAACGTCTTCGCCTCCAGCATCTTTTAAGTCCTTACAAAATCCGTAGAAACTGAACTGATCGGGATCTCCGGTTTCTGTACGCCAGTTGAATTCGTACTGCGTTGCGAAAAGCTTTTTCACCGTTTCACGATTCGCATCGCCATGGGCTGCAAGAATGTTGACGAGGTTTCGTGGAGATTTGTATTCTTCGTTTTCTTGAGGTTGAAAATTATCACATTCTAACTGCACGTTTATTTCTAATTTTCTTCTCAAGGCGTCGTGGTCTACATTGAAATTCTCTGAAATGTCCAACAGGGATGGGGCGTCAATTTCTCTAACCACATTCCGTTTTCTCCTATATCGTTCTGAGACTGAGTTCTCGAGTTGTAAACGCTGAAGTTTTCCATTAAGGTGATTGTCTTCTTCGTTGTTTTGATTCTGATCCAATTTGCATGTTAATTTTTGTGTTTCCCATCTTAGCTTTCTTATAAACACACTGTCCTGGAACACCTTAATATCTGTAGATCGAAATCTGCAAACATTTCTTCTGAAAGGGATTAGTATAGTATTAAATAATCGTGAAGACATTAAGTTTTGAAAATGCATATATAAACATGTAAAAACTTATACCTGCTCCATATGTAACGAAATCACAGCTAAGTTCTAGCGTTGTTTATGGAATAAGAATATATGGACGCGCAATTAAACTGACTGTGAAACTTTTAAAAACAACTGGAGCCATAGAAGCGAAGCGTTGATCTCCCTGTTCCCGCAGCGTTCAAAAGCAAACTATAGTATAGAAACTTCACATGTCTTGAAAATTTGAGTATTGATGCCAATTTCAAACCATCTTATCTCAAACATTGCAATAAACTAGCCAAACAGCTGCGGGTTAAGAGAGATAAAACTACCTGAAAATATATAAACAAAAGTTTTGTCGATGTTTTGCTTATATTTTTCAGTTGTATCACATTCAAACCGCGCATCTCTTTTTAGAGATGTTTAGCAAAGACGACGCGACGTGAAAATGGCGTGGGCACATCCATAGATGGGCATATCACACCATTTTTACGCCATTTTCAAGTCAGTTTTGACGTCGCGTCGTCTTTGCCAAACCTCTCTATTTATACAATAAGCTATAGCCATGCAATATAAGGGTGGGCTCCCATGGCACTCGCACACGGAAAATAAGAAGTGTTACAGATCTCTGGGTAGGCCTAAGAGTTTTTTAATACAATGCATAGAGTTACAAACAAGTTTTGGGCTTAGATTTAAACACAAGAATTATAGAGCACCTCTATACCATTCCCTGTACACGTTTTCCGGATTTGGAACAATTAGTTTTTTGTAGGTCAGACTGCATGGCTGTCAATATAATCAATTCATGTTTTTTGAAAACACTGGGATAAAGTATTCGATCAGTTAGGCTAAGTATCATTATCGGTAGACGCGCTTAGGAGTGGCCCACTCCGACTGGGGATGCGTTTGGGCTCACGAGTTACGATTGGAAATTTAATTTCGCAAACAAAACGTTTTCCGGAAATACGGAATCATTTTGTTGAAATCAGTGTTTCAATGTTATGTACACACTTACTTTTAGCCATAAGTCGCTGCGGGAATGCTCTTTGGTTTTACAGTTACCTGCATATAGCTGGAGTGTTTTATAGAGTACTACAAATTTAGGTCACATTTTGAGCAGTTGTCGCGCAATAATTGCTAAGTCAACAAATGCATGTACGTCGGCCTGATTAACCGCATCCACGAGGATTTTTGCGGACAGAAGAAAAACACACTCGTGTCATTCAAACTGAAAGCGTTTTGTTATTAAACTGTGCCGGTTTTATTCAAATCCTTCATGTAAAGCAAACTTTCTTGAAAGTCAGACTGATACATCTAAAAGAGTGTGGGCGGTAGCTATAGTAGCTATATCGGTTTTATTTAAGTGTAACGGTAAGGCAATCATGTTGTTTAATGAATCGCCATTTTATATTGTAAGCAGAGGAACAGTGTTGAACAATGTCAGACCAACGCACAGAATATTCCTAACGGGACAGTAATACTAAACAAAGCAGGTTTTAAATTGTCAGTGCCAGGGTTATCGTTACTTGGAAACCGTTAAAAATCACTTCACTCCACATGCAGATAATGTAAGCTAAACTTGGAAACATTTCAAGCTGTGTTTATTTTTATTAAAATAAATTCTGTAACAGTTTATTTATACAAACTATATATCCATCAGTTTTAACGTGGGGAGTGGAATGCAGGTGGCTTGTCTGTAAAAAGCAGGTATCTGCGTTTACTAAAAGTAAAACTGCACGAAAAATGTTGAGAATCTTTCCATTGTTGCAAGTAAAAGCCCTTCTTCAAGAAGAGTAAATTTTTTTTTATTTCAATTTTATCGTAATGTTGAAATTTTCATTTTGTGTCGCCATTACAGGAAACAAAGAGGTACAGGCTACAGAATTAAGGTTTTTCTGATAGCCTGCATGCGGGCAAACCATCTCCCGACAAAGAACCTGTGCACGAAACCTTAGACTTGGATCAAGTCCGTCTCTCTAACGAAACCTTTGAGTTTCTTAACTTTTCCAGATAGTTTCAACTGAGTGGTTTTTGACATCAGCTTATTTTCATTTTTGCCTGCTAAAATATTTAAATGATAAAAGATTCCACACGGTCGTGAGGCGGTGACGGTCGCGACCAGCCGACCATGTCAAGGTGACTGTCGGAATGTCGTTGCATCTCAGCAGCTACACTAGACCGACTAGACTATATTTACACCCGTGTTTACACGCAGCACACAAATGCAAGATAGGTCCAAGGGCCAAGGCTATTTTACATCGGTGACTAGTGATCCGCTCACGACAGCTGTGGGAACTGAGCTTTAAGCCTGGTTCACACTGGCAATTTTGTCGGCGATTTTGTGTTTCTGACGTCGGATATAAATGAGTGAACTCACGCACAAAAGTATAGAGTCGCTTTTCAAAACAAGTCTTTTGCATGTCATTCAAAGTTTTACAACGGGAGAGCTGTGTAGATCTGTCCTGTATTTTAGATACTAGAAATATGGCAGTAAAACGGACCCTACGCTACAGTGTCCAAATTCGAGATGCCCGATTGCAATTGTTTCAACGCTCCAATTGTTTAATCCAGGTCAGCGATTTAATCTGGCAAAACCAATGCACAAAACAGACAGTGGTTGACCTCCACGGCTCCATGCTAAAGTTTTGTTATTTTAACAGATTTTCTAGAACACCCATCATGTTTATTGCGGTCGCTGTAATCTTGCAGATATTTCATCAGGTTCTCCGCTTTTCAACATATTTGAAAAGATAATAAAGATGTAGTCACTGACATCAACTAATGAAAGCGATTTCATTTAAGCCCATTTTCCACTAGGCGAATTTGTTTGCGCGTAGGAACTGATCCAACTTTTTCGCGGTGAGTTTTTTCGCTGACCAATCACACTCGCCAATATTTGTTTTGCGCTTTGCTTTGCGCGAACAAATTCGTCTAGTGGAAAATGGGCTTAAAAGGACACGAAAGATGAGATGACGTGTATGCTGACGTAGGTAAGAAAAACAATTTAATAAACCCTTCCGGAAAGTACTTAGATTTGGCGACAGAGCCTCGTTTTCACGATTGAGATACCGGCTAGTAGAGTCCTTATTACTGATGACTTAATTATATCAATTATATAAAGGTCTTTTATAATATTATCCAATATAATTGTGCGATTTCGTAAATGTATCTACCTGTAACAAGACCCAATAGTTCAATCACAAAAACGATCGAGGCTCTATAGCCAAGGTTGAATTCTTTCCGGCAGGATGAGCGGCTGTGTTGTATCGAGACGCGAATGTTGTAAATGGCTTGTGAAACGTCTTGATGAGAACATTCGTGTTCTTCAACCATTTAAAATAAATTAATGATATTTGGTGAGAAAATTGAACTTAAAGTTTATCGATAAATCAGCATGATTCTGTCATTCTGTATCAGATATATACAAGCTCCTTCCCGCTCATGATTTCCTTTGTGTTTTCTTCATGAGTATTAATGATTTTACAAATTTAATAGATACACGCCACCTTTGCCAACGCCGGGTTCAGTAGCGTTCATTAGGTGGTGTTCAAAACATTGAAGTTTCCTTTTCAGGTAAAACGAAGATTGCGATGCCACATCTGTGGGCTGGTTGTATAACACTGAACTACTTTCTCACCACCGAGGCAGGGGGGGGGGGTCTCCCCCAATAATTTCCTCATGCAGGATTCAGTACTTGTTTGCATATTTTACTATTTGTCTCTTGCACATGCAATTACAATCAACTCATCTGTAATAATTTCTTGCCGCAGTATAACGCTATAGTATTTATGAACTGAAACAAAATAAATTCATACAGAGTCAGACAGCAATCGTGCAGTTTCTTTTTGGTAATTATTAAACAATAAGTCAATTTCAAATCCTGGTATAATAAATCCTAGGGTTTTGGTCGATCGGTAGCACTTTCTTGCTATAGTAACTTGGCACTTTCTTGCTATAGTAACTTCTATAGTAATATCTAAGGAAAAGGTAGCTCATTTTTTCACACGAACAGTGAGAAGCTGCAAATTCAAATTGTCAGAGGTCGGTTACGATCGAGCTGGTTTGAGACTTTTGGGATAAATACAATTCATATTGCCTCGAGCGGGCAATTCAAGCCTGATTCATTACGCCGCTCTATCCATTGAGCTGTCACCTTGTGGGTTTATCCGACCATCCAAGCCATTTGTCAAGAATTTGTCAGCGAAATATGGCCTGCTTAAGATTTGCTCGTATCCAATCCTAACTGACCCGTGGAGGCGTGGACCTCAACCCTGAAGATTAATAATTATGCTCTCCCCCCTTTCCTATAGGCCATCACACTCTGTCGTCGCACAGAATTGCTTTATGTGTCAATTTTTTCAAAACTCAATTTACCAAACATTTCAAAAGCCCAACATGCACTAATAACTCGAGTCATTATCACTGCGATTGAGAGATTTAGCACATTTGAAATACAGGCAGACCTCTGCGATATTAAATATGCCCTAATATGCTATTTGGGGTTAATAAGCTTGGTGTGTCATGAGTGGCCGTATGGTTTGCCTTACGTAAAACTGATGACATGTATTTGCATAATAATTAACTCGTGGCCATTTAAATGCTTTTTACCACATTGTTTGCTATCCACATCTCACAGGCTGTGTATTGTTTCACAGATTGTTTTGCGCTCTAGGTCTTGCGGAGTTCCCCCAGGATCTCACCTTGCTGTTACGTTGAGAGTTATAACGTTTTGGCCAAGTTTGAGTCAGCTCGAAGACTAAACAACATTTTTGGTCAACTTGTGGAGTTCGTACAGACATCCAAATCTTTGCCAAGACAACAGACACTATGGGCACAAACGATGTGGCAGATTTAAAAGTCGAAGAAGCAACTTTAAGGCGTAAGGTTTGTATAAAACTTAATCCTAATAGCTATAATCCCTTAAAAGGTGTGAGATTTTTGCGTTCAGAGCAAAAAAATCACTACCCATTTTCGTGTTGCCGTTCGAAACTTCTGACATCTGTGATATTTTCCATTTTTCCGACAAGGACAAGCTTTTTATTGCCTTATTGACTCGCTTTCCCTAAAGCTGATTGATAAGAACTGTTATTTCAAGTGCCTGGATAAACACAGCGAAATACTGATACGGCGAATGAAAACTCGCGCGGAACACAGGTCGAATCATTTCGTGCATCAAGTTCAACGAAGGATTGCTGTTTTATGTATCCGTGTTTATAAGTATCAAGGAAGCACACCCCGCGGTCATTTCTCCGTATCTTAGATTACAAACAAATCGTGCTAATCTCGCGTTAAAACCTCGTGGATGGCAGGTTTTGCGTATCAAAATTTCATGCTTGGCTGAAGTCCGAACTTGGTTCGGTCGCCAGGGAGAGCTACACAGTGCCTTACATTTGACTGCTGTTCGTTGGTTCTACATGGCATCCACCGCTAGAGTACCGGCGTATTCCAAGATGCCACAGGTTAGACGAAATTTGATGTATCTTGCTGTGTTTTCTAGCACGGCTTGTATGTCTGTTAGCTTATATGTGCTTAGTTTGTTTGCGAGAGCGGTAACAATGCATTACAGATCATTACGAAGTCGTTGACGTTACACATTTGTGGATTTATTACCCTCAAGGGACCCGAAATCGATTATGTTTGTTTTTAATATCAGACTTGTGCGTGCAAAACCGAACATGAATGATGACAAGTCGTATAGTCTTTATGTCTGATATGAAATCATACCTTTACATTAGCATGTTCTCCTTGGCACCTCAGGTATTTAAACTGAGAACTGTACGATCTTATGTACATTAAAATAATGTTACCCTTTGTGGTACCAATTATGTGAAACTTTATGTAAAACACCCAATTTAAACATGTATATGTTAGTAGAAATACAAAGTGCTGTCAGCTGTTTCTTGTATAGCATAATTTACGAACGATCTGCCGGGAAAGTAATCGCCGCACGACGTATAATTGCTTTGTATACATATGTTCGTCTAGCTGCTTAGATTTCATTTCTTTAGACATGTCACCATCGATTATTAACAAGTTGACTATGGGTTATATTTATATACAAGCGCGTATATATTTGCATGTATATTCGCATGTTTTGGCAAGGGGTGACATGCGTTAAATAAATTGCGAATTGCGAATAGGTCTCGAACCGCGTAAATATGCGATAACGGCGATTGTTAAGTAACTGGAATTCGGGCTATAGTGATTTCGGGTTAGACAAAAAGTGATAAGCAAAATGTCTGACATTATTTCAATGACGCAAACGTATGGCGTTACATGCGTAGGATTTGCTTAGAACGTTAGCATTCACGCAATTTTAGATAAATGCACGAACATAGAACATAATTTCCATGTGCGGTACATGCTTTGTTTCGATATATTTCTGCTGTGAAGACCAGTTTGGCCGCCAGGTTTTGTAGCATATTTATTATTAATACTACCGGCGCTTCGAATGCCATTTCGGACTTTGTCTATAATTTCCGGTGTGCTGCGCACGTCAGGGGGTATTATAGACAATAATTACATGGGTTAGAATATGCAGGGTAATATTGCTAAGGATGGTAAAGAATTCACGAGTGCATACCACACAGATAGTTGTATTTGAATGCTGCAAGTTATTTGAGCCCTCAAGAGGTTTATTGAAGACTGCGTGGTCTAGATGCACTCTGCCCTTCATTCTCAGCTTGCAGACTAAGCCAATTGCGCACAGTGGTCAATAGACAGATTTTGTAGTTTATGTTATAGGCATGTACAAATTAGCCTGCTCGCAGCTTCCCCTTCTAAATTGCAGGCTGCGAGCAGGCTATATACAAATTCGAACGTAAAATTCAGACATTTCTAACAAAAGCTCGTCACAGTTCTTCTTCTAAAGTATGTTATTATAGTATATCGTTGCGGTGAAAAAATACTTGTTGTATTTGTATGCAATTTTGAAAATCATTAGAGTCGTGAGACTCGGGGATGAACAAGGCACATCAGGATTAAATTCCTATATTCTAACGTTCTAATTAGCATGCCTTGCGATCAGTGTTTGAGAAACGAATTGCCAAAAAAGTCGCATTTTCTTAATTAAATAACGTTCTAACGTTAAAAGTTGTGCAAAAACCAGCGCTCGAGCTTCGCTTCAATCATCGTACATATTGAAAGGGAAACAATACACGCTTGTTCATATTGTATAATTACAATATATATTTGTACAAATAATGATAAGTTATTACAAGATTTGCGTATTTGTTCAAAGTTTTAGACGCGCTGTGAAGCCTGCCGACATTTTAATAATCTTGCTTTTGTGCCAACATCGGGTCAGGGTCATATTTTTGTGGGCGATAATTATTGATAATAAATAATTCCATCGTTCTTCGATGACGTTTGTGCACGATTCTGGTTAGTGATATAGTGTTTTACCAAGACAGGTCTGCAAAGGATTTGACAGTTCTGTATTTTTGTTAAGGAGGAAAAGCATTATAAGGCAAAGTGAATTCGGGATTTAGTTAATACAAGCATAAGTGCGCTAAATTTCATTATAACATAACAGAATTTATAAAATGCCGTAGCTCTCCTAGCAACGTCAACACTCGTATGTTATTACCGGAGCAGGAAAACAAATTTAAAACTTTAAACTCTTTATCACAGCTTATGTTTCACAAATTTATGTACTAAACGTGTTCTCGTGCATGCGAATTCACACAAGATAATGCTTCTTAAATTTTCTCAGTTTAAAACACGTTTTAAAGAATGAAACACAAAATTTCCAAACATAAATGACATTACACAAGAATGTTGTTATCAACAACTGAAGTGTTTCCACAGACAAGTAGACAACATCCAGACACAAAGGATTGTCAGTTAGAACCTTCTTAATAATTCATTATGTGAGGTGGGGGAGGCAATTAGAGGAGGAAAAACATTTTTCTGGGAAGTTAGTTTCAATGAACAACAAAAATGGCTGCAGCATTTAAAGAAACCTAGTCTTTCCCTTGTTTTTGTTATATACTCTTTCACCCCCCTCTCCCCTCAAGGAAGTGTTGTTTAGGTGTGTTCAGGCATGATTGAATAGGTGCCGTATTTCAGCCCTGATGGCTTATTAGGGGGGGGCTAAATAGAGGCAGGGAGCAAAATAAATTTTCATGTTCTTTTACAGCCGTTTCGCTATTTCTAAATGGGTACGTAGCCGGTATTCTAAATTTTAGAATGCGGGTAGTACCCATGCTAGGTATATACCTGAGCATCCCGACCCTAACTCTAACCCCTAGAACCTAACCCCTAAAACCTAACCCCTAAACGGGTGTCTTTTAAAAATACTAGTATTAATTTATAGAAAAACCGAAAACCAATCTCAAAATGGCGAAATCCGCAATCCTAAAGGCCGAGGCACACCGGACGCGAATCGACAACGCGGCGCGATTTTTCAGTTTTTGAAAGTTAATAAAACAGCCAATGAAAGGAAAAAGACATGTAGAACAAATAACTCAAAATGTTATAGCGCTTCTAAATATTTGGAAAACTTAAACCAGGATCAAAGTCATCGAAAAATCGCGCAGCTTTGCCAAATCGTGTCCGGTGTGTCTCGGCCTTATAAACTCCCCCTCTTTTATATTTGGTATGCGGCGAATGTTGTAACATAATAATACGACGCACATATTTTCATATTTTGGTCCGGATCAACAAACAGCTGTAAATAAATATTCGTTCTTCATTTAAACCTATGATTATATTTTTTATTTTAAGTTTTTCTGTGATTCACATGTACATGTGAACAAGTTCTAACTGTAGTAGCCTGCTTACGCACACGTCAGTTGGCTCTTGCGCATAGAGCGCAACTATTGGCTGCGTGGGAGACTGGGTTCCACCTTACCCTCTTTGGAACGAAATTGAAAACACTGTCTTGAGAGAGATACCAAAGTACCGTGTGCTCGGAGTACGAGATTGAGGGGTACAACTATCTGATAAATATAAGCAGAACGTCGACCTTTCCGGCGAATGCGTTTTGTCGGGAAATTAGAAAATAACAAAAGAAATTTAATGAACCCTAAAATACATGTTTTGTGCCGAAATAAACCAAATATTAATTGATGATCCATTACATTGACCGTAATTGAACTCGACATTGACTGATTAGTTCGTTCATGGAACAAATTTGTGCACATAATTTACTGAAAGATTGGTCGTTCATTTTAGAATTTACTTCAATTGTCTTTACACACGCCAAAAATTTGAATCCTGGCCAAGACTCGAGGCAACAAACTTTAAATTCCAAACATAAGCATTCATCTTTATTTGATTTGTTGCTGTATCGGTTCAATGGAATTTCTTTCATCAACACGCATTCATCCTTTCAAAGGTCAAATGATTCGACATAGTTTATATTATAAACTTACCGCAGATCCGACTAACATTGTCTTGTTGTGTAAACTAAGTGAGTACAAAAAATTTGATTGACATTGAAACTTAAGAAATGTTGACCTTATGGGAAAATTGTATAAGTCAAGAAAGCGGGGAAGAGGACCCCCCCCCCCTCCCCCAGTAAATTCTCATCCAGGATTGTACTTCATTATTGCAAACTTAAATACTTGATTTCTTTTTTGCATAGGCAGTTGCAGTAAACTCATCTGTAATAATTTCTCATCAGATTGACATATATCATTAGGAATCGAAAACCAATTCATTTTTCTGCACCAACCCCGCTCCCCCTTTTTTTCGTACTCTTGTTTGCCCCGGATAGTCTGTTTACAGGCTAGGTTCAGCCTTTTCAATGAAAGGAAAGGCCGGAAAAAAGATAAGAAGCAGAGAGGAGAAAGCTCCACAGAGTTTCGAATTAATACTATACACAGCAACTCTCTGGACTATAAGAAACTCTCTGAGCCTCTGGAAACTATAGGCTATAGAGTATAATAAAATTTAAATAGAGTTGAAGTTTTCCGTTACGTACGTCTGAATTCGAAAAACGCTTAACTAGAAAGCAGTCTTTACATTAAAAATTTATCTTGTTAATGTTATGTATGATATTTGATATATAAAGACTAGGTATAAAGTCAGAAGAATATAGACTAAAGAAGATTAGCTTTCTTGTCAATTTACTCTATAATTCAAACATCTTGTTTGTTTTTGCACTTTCAAATTAATCGTCGCATTTCTTTGTGGCGTTGTTTTCAAAAACAACAGCAATATTTACCTATCCTGGTCAGTTTAAACTTCAAACTGTTTTGATTCCCTACAATGATCGGATTATAAAGATCTTAACACCACAAAGAAAGCTAATTTTGTTCCATCACGTTGACACATGTTGGTTCATGGTGATCACATCTTTGATGTGCAGGTTTTCTCCAAATACTTTCGTTTCCTCTTGTAGTATAAGGTTCCTGTGGTATCACTAAGGGGCATCTACATAAAGGCTGTGTCCGATTCTCGCACGACTTTCAAATTTCGTGTTGTTTTTGGTAATAAACAAAAAATGTTCAGTTTTGATCAGGAAATATCGATGCATGAGAACCAAAACCCACATCCTGACTAACGGGAATAATCAATAATCCTACTTGAAGTTACGTCAATTATCATTGTAATTGGTTAGTGGTGCCACGAATATCGTGAGAATACTCTGTATTTAGACGTAAATGTGCTGTTGGTTTTGCATTGCGTTAATGAGTTTATAGAATGACTTGGATGAATTTCAAAACGAGTGCACGATTTAACCAAATCTAGGTCACGAATTTTCGGTCGCTTTCTTTGAATAGCTGCTGAGACCTCCCTCAACACTAGTTGTGTGTTATCTTCGAAAGAATTTAGATGAATGAATGAATGAATGAAAAACTTTATTTAAAGATGCTAGCCCCATCGGCAAAAGCTGGTTTCAATTGGGGCGTCCAAACTTTACAAAACATTGACAACAATACAAAACACAAAACCACAGCAACGAATAAAACAATTATTGAGGTAATTCGTAAATACAAGGTAACAACGTTGTGACGCAATTAATCGAGAACTGGGCGGCTTATCGACTTAAAACCTATTTTTAAAGCCATAGATCGATGGAGTCTGTCAGCCGGAAATGCATTCCATATAAGCATAGCTTATAGGCCCACTGTATTTGAACGTTCTAGATCTGACGATCTCACGTCAGCTTCTTGATCAGGTGGCTCAAAAGTGAATCGATTGAAGTTGATCAAATGCTGACATTTTTTTTACATTATTCAAACCATTCCAAGCTTCCCCGCATATACAGTAAACCTAGACAAAAAATTTCACCCGAATAGTTTTGAACTGAAAAAATGGCTTAATCCACTGTCACAGTAATACAGTTAAACAGCTTGTTACAAGATGTTTAACTGTACCAAATCTTGATACTGACTCGATAATGTACTTGTTGCATTTGCTTATAACTCCGGAACAATTTGTTACCATTTGTTACAAGCTTTTATATAACAACAATAATGAGAAGACGCTTTCCCAACAGTTAGGCACATCGTGTTGTGCACTTTGTTTTTGCAGGTGTAAAACGAGTTTGAAACAAGCTGTTAACAACTTGTAACAACCTTGATGATACAATCAGGCATGTTGCAAGGTTGTTTCAACACGTCCGATACATTCATGATATTGCTGACCTGTAACAAATCGGTGCGTTTTTACGTGTGTAGTACGATTCTTATAGGAGCGTTCTTAACTTTCTATTTATCTCTTTAGTTGGAATCCACGCGTGATCTCTCAGAACGTCGGCAGATCAGAGCCTTACTTCGAACTTTGAAAGAGAAGCGTGAACAATGCGAGCAGCAGGTAGCTGAGGACCGTGTCAATAACAACGCTCCTGCCGCTGCGCCCTCTGGGACAGCACGTGACGCCAAAGATGGCGGGGTACGTTTTGCTAACGTCGATAAGCCCATGGAGAGAAACGACAGCGGTACGAATATTCTCGAGCTACGAAGTCGGCGACGAAGCGTGGCGAAGCCCCCTCCGTCCACCAGCTTCCTTGTGAATAAACTCAGTAATGTGATGCAACGGGAGAAAGCTGCGCGCGCATCATCACCAGCCAGGGGGGTGAATGCCTTTAGGAACAAGTTTGAAAACAAGGATGCCAATAACAACCAAGGGGGTGCAAGACCCGGGAACGGATCTCCGGCAATGAAGAAAACGATTGAAACGCGAAGTGTTGTACAAACCTCGAAGACAGTCGTTGAGACGAAGTCGGTTACACATGTCGAGAAAAAAGAGGAGCCCGAAATACATCACCCTAACCGTAATGCATTGCGTTCCCGCCGTAGGTCGGTTGCTAAGTTACAGGTGAACAAACACGAGAAGCCGAGTGCCCCGATGCAAAATGGACCTGTTATGAAGGAGCCTGAAGCCCCCACGGCTAAAGATGCTCGTTTCCAAAGACGACTGTCCCGGACCCGTATGACCCCAAAGATGGACACTGGTGCCGGGCGTTTTACCCCCATGGTAAGTCATAGCTAGGATATAAGTGGGCCTTTTGCATAACAATAGTGTCATTGTATATATCCCACGATATCCAAGGTGGAAATTCGAGCATATGGAAAATGCTATGTAACCATACAACCATCCCAAGAAGCTTTTCACAAACTTGTTCGATTTTGTTGTAGGGCCAACCTGGAGTTGTGAAGCCAAACGCGTTTGGTTCCCCGGCTGAACGAATGGCGTACTTCCAACAAGCCGCTCAACAAGAGAAACCAGCAGAACCCGCAAAGCCTGCAAAACCTGCTCAACCCGCACCTAAACCTGTAGCTGCTCCTGCTCCTGCTCCTGCACAACAGAATAAGGAAAATGACAACCAGAATAAACCGATTGAGAAAATACCACGAAGAAGGTAAAATGAAAGTTAAGTCTGGTTGTGGAAACATTTAAAAATATCCTTTGAATATTTCCCTGTTTGCCATTCCTTGGAAGTATTACAGCGGAGAAAATGTTTCGAAACAAATTTAGAAACATTTATTCTTCCAAGTTTAATTTTATTGCGGAAAACAATTGCGGGAATGAGTTCAGAGAGTACATGTGCGTTTTGGTTGTAGTGTTGGGGCCCGTTTACACTTTCAATTTCTGCTCCAGTGCGATTTTCTCTTTCTGATGCATGTGAACGAGTAGATGAGTTACGAATGTTTGGAGTACATGTACCCTCATCTGAACATTCACAACTTATCCACTCGTTCACATCCATCAGAAAAACAAAATCACACCTAAAATTACAGCAAAAATTGCAAGTATAAACGAGCCTTTGCAGAACAGCGACTAGGACCAACTTCAGAAATGTTGAAACTGATAGGAGGATCCTCGGATAGGAGGGTCCTAATTGAGTGGAACTGGGGTGCCTAATTTTGGGCTGGGAAAATGGGATTTTGATTACTGGGAGTGGGAATGACAGAGACGGGAATAGGAGTGGGAATTAAAAGTCAACATGCATATAGGTGAAACCACAGTTAACAGAATACATGGTTTGGAGACTCGATGAAAGTACAATATAACTCATTAACTATGTTGGTTTCGGTTTATGCAAGAATTTGGACCTATCTCGTCACGTGTGTATTGTATTTTTTCCCGCACAACCAATAGCAATGTTTAAACTGAGCATTTGTTCAAGTTACGGATGGATAACTCAACCACAAACTTGTTATTGGTTATTTGAGCGAAAATACAATACACACGTGACGAGATAGGACCAAATTCTTGCATAAAGCTGGACAATAACATAGTTAATGAGTTATATTGTACTTTCATCGAGTCTCCAAACCATCTATTAAAATAACTGTGGTGAAACCAGCTCATGACATAGGTATAACTGGGATTTTGATCAATTTTAACTCCAAATACAAGAGTACTTTATGAAGTAAAAATAATTAAGTTTTTTCTCTACAACTGTTGCAGATAAATCTTAATTATCTAAACTATTATAGAAAACTCGTTCGAGATACAAAAACTGAACGACTTTGTAGAATGAGAGTGAGGATTACATAATATTATCCACTTCCTGGCCAGCCTCTGCATTTAAACCTTTTTCAGATTACACCCACTGAGAGAAATTAATATTTATTGAAAGTTCTTGTAGCTTTTGAAGTTTGAAACAGCATCACATTACGACGATAACTAGCTTCTACCATCATGTACATATATTTGTATGAAAGAGCTTCGCCTTTGCTATAAATTATAGTATCAATGTGTCATTATATATACAGACTGATAACGCGAACTGTACACCAACCCTTTTTGGTGTGGTATTTGAAAAATGTTTCTCATAAACACGGAGAAATAATAATATTGAAATAAACTACGGTTTGGTTATTTTGCCTCGTGAATTGTTTGACTACAAGATTTAAGCAAATCGGAGTCTGAGATTTACTGATTACTGTGCCTTTAAATATAGGTAAGACATTTTATGTTAATTAAATTTGGGGCAAAAAGGAAATATTTATAGTATAACGATATGAATAACTAAATAAGGCTTAGCTTTCCTTTTTCGTAAAAGGAATATTAATTGTTCAATTTAAACGGAAGTGAATTGCCTATAACTTTCGATTTACTCAATAGTATATTGTTTATTCGATAGTATGTTGTGTATATCGCTTTAATTTTACAATTCACGTATCAATAAATGCTTTGTCAGTTTCTGAACACAACAAAATGATTGGTAAAATCTCTTGCACTGAAACTGTCTGCATTTACGACATGATCTACGACTGCACTGTTTTTAATGTTGTACTAATATTTATGTTCTGTTCATCTTACACAGTCCGCCGAAAAAGAAACCTCAACTAAAACGTCAAATGTCGGTCTCGCAACTGGTCTTGCAGTGGTGCAAAGAACAAACGGAAGAATACGAGGTATTACTGTGGGGTGGTGGTGGGTAGGTGTATTGTAGGGTGGGTGGGGGTGTTGATGTGGGTGGGGGTGTTGGTATTACAGTGGTTGGTGCATGTTTGTTCTTTTCATCTTAACGACTGGAGTTCGGTCACAGCAGGTCACCAGAGCATAAGAGAAAATAGCCTGGGTACGAGGTTGAAGTTCGGTACAGCGCCCTGGTGCAATATACTGTTGTCGCGTTATAGTTTAACTTCAACTGAATTCGAGAAGATTTCTTCCTTCAGTTTGATGCAATCAAACACTGCAGCTTCCCCCTTCAGTGAACTATATATTTATATTTACATATTTATAAATATGCCAAACAAAGCTTGCTAAGTGTTTGTGTCTTTCTATTATGCTCTGGTTATCCATTGAGCACTCTATCATTGGTTTTTATAACCCAACACAAAGTATTTTCTACGTAGTATTTAAAAAATATATATATACATGTATATACACAGCTAATTCAAAAAAAGTTATAAGGTGCTTCATATTATGTACTAGATAAAACATGAGCAGCCGATCTGTATCTGATATATGCGAATGATGCGAATGTTTTATCGTACTTAAAAAATGACCCATCTTATGAGTTCATTGGCAAAGTAATTTTGAAAATAAACATTGTCTAAGCCTGAAGTTTATGTAAATCAGGACAAATCTTTATCCGATTTACAAACATTGATTAAACATTCATTTCTTTTGTATTTTCCTCGTGAATTATTAATGAGTGTTTGAAATATATTTATAATATAGCATTTGTAAATTCTGAACGCTGATTGGCTAAGAGCCGTGTTGATATAACTCCATGTCAACACGGGAAATTTTCCGCCGCTTGTAACACGGAAATTGTTCTTATTCTTCGGGCTTTTGACATTGCTATATTATAAAACAAATATATAAAACATTTTTCCGTATTGATATATAGTTATATCAACACTCGTGGAAGTTGGGAAAACTCGAAATTGTGTGAAAACACTCCGCCCTTCGGGCGTCGTGTTTCCACACAATTTCTCGTTTTCCCAATTTCCACTCGTGTTGATATATAGAGGATATTTCACGGTGGCACGGAAATATGACTTTTATTTTCGAGTGGTGAAAACAATATTTTACGAACGAGCGCAGCGAGTGAGTAAAATATTGTTTTCAACACGAGAAAATAAAAGTCATATTTCCAAAGCCACCGTGAAATGTTCTTTTTATTATATGGCCAAAATAAATTTCATCAACTAGATGTTTTGTAGCTCACCGTACGGCAACAATGTTATGTCTCTCCGCTCGTTTATAGAGGCTAAATAGTCGCTGAAGATCGCCAAATCGGACTTAGTCTTCCTTTTTGTGTTTTTATTTTCATTTTCTTCAGAAAACCTTGCCAAATCAGCGTCGGAAACATTAACAAAATGTCGAGAATTTGCCATATTGAATATTCAAAACAGAAACGGCAAAATGGCGGGAATTAGCGTGGGCCCCGCGCGAGACGTTCCCGCGTAAGATATGATTTCATATTTCACTATAGTGAAATACGGAAAATATCAGTGGCGTATTTTACGGTATTTTACTCATATCCATATAATAAAACCCGGCATCAACACGGAAAATGTTTTATATTTGTTAAATAGTGTTTAGTATACAGGATTTGAATGTTGAACTGTCTTTGCCAGTGTAGGCAGAACAAGCTTTCATTGGTAGGGATGCGACTACCTAAAAAATATAAGAAGAATTTCGACGTTTCGAGCGAAGGCCCTTCGTCTGGAGTTACTTGTCACTAGAAATTCTCCTTATATTTTTCAGAGGATTTGAATGTATTTAATGTTTGAAACGATTTTTCGTTTCCAGGGTGTGAACATCACGAATTTCAGTGCAAGTTTTGCAGATGGTTTAGCAATGGCGGCATTAATACATAAATTTAATCCAGATCTCTTCGACTTCAACTCTCTCAAGCCTGGTGACAGGGAACGAAACTTCACGACGGCTTTTCAAGCTGCCGAGTAAGCAGTTATATTTTCCTGTTATTTCATGTTTAAAGAAGTACAAGTGGCAGAATAACGCCCATTAACGGTCTTCCCCAGCCTAGACCTAGGCCTTCTATTTTTATTCTTTTTTAATATTCAGCGCTATTTCACATGAGAAGCCTGGAACCTAGGCGATTTGGGGGCAGGGCGGAGGAAGAGCGAAACTCCTATGGCGATACTTACCAAATGCTAGCCCAAAATACCAAACTTGCCAAAGCCAGCCGAGTAAAGGCCTAGGTCTAAGCTGGCGCTTTCCTTGAGTTATCACCATAGTTACCACTGAATTTTGCCTGCATGGCAGATGTCCACCCGAGAGGTGGAACACCTAAATTGCGGGCTGGGCGGAGGATGTATTGCCAGTCGGGTGTCAGGGCATTACTTAGTGTGCGCAAGTATTCTACACAGGCTTGGTGGACTTCAAACCCATACGCTTCTTCGCTTAGTAATAGCGGATTTCTTTTGTCTTGCAATGTTTACTTGGTTGGATATTCTGCATCTACTTATAGTTCTGGGGTCGTTTGTTCAAAGCCGGATTACAGTAAAGCCCGTATATACTGTAAGAACCTAGATTTTTCCAAGTTAGCCTAAACAGGTTCTTATGTAATGTACATGGTGCTTACCAGGAAATTGGGCTAAACAGGTTCTTAAATAGGTTCTTATTTTCCTAAGAAAAAAGCGACTCATTTTCGGTCACAAATTATCTATGCTGGAAATCATTGCTTACAGTCACTAGCAGTTGAGATTGTCATGTATTATACTATTATTTTCACTGAAGAAAACAATTATTTATTGTGTTCATATAGACATGTTATTTATCTGAATGACATTCCCAGGGTTCTGGACCATTCGCATTACCTTGTGAAGAGCTCATATTCTTTGATTTATAAATGTTTAGTTTTGACTCTATTTGATAAATCTTAAATTCTAGGTTCTTATATGCAGGGTTTTACTGTAGCTCTAACAACCCTGGGTCCAATTTTAATCTGCTGATTTATTGTGTGTATTTCTACACATCAGCTTATTTCGAAACTTTAGAAAATAAAACTTCTATTGATCCAGACAAGATTTCTGAGAAAATGGACTCTCCCATTCCCCCTCTGTGGCTACGCCTCGTGCGCGTTCTATGAGAAGAGTGTTACCATAAATTGTTCTTCTCTGTTCAGGAAAGTTGGCGTGGCCGTGTTACTCGACGTGGAGGACTTGGTTCGAATGAAGAAACCAGAACCTCGAAGTGTTCAAACCCAGGTCCAAATGATCTTCAGCAAGTATCGGCCAAAGGATTTGGACACGAGTCAATTGACTATCGCCTAGTAATGGTCAGCGTACATTGTTAGATATATTTTGAAATTTTAAAATTTTTAGGGCAGCAAAGAAATGGTATAAAATAGGCCATTTTAAATTTTAGGGAAAGATGGGATAAAATGCAGTGTATTCTAAATTCTTTCCTCCAACTAGGAAACACCTAGAAGAATATTTTTTAGCTGCGGAAGTATAGAGAAACCTATATCCTATAGCCCAGAAAATGTGGGCCAAATTGACCTCTAAACTGATCTATGCTAGGAATTTTATCTCACCCGGTTAAAATTTCCAGAGTGTGGTAGTTCAGTTTTATCGATGTTCTCCTTTTTTAATTAAATGAGCAAAAAATTCGTAATGAGATTTTCCAACACTATGGCGCACTTTGGATCCTGGTTGCACATGCAAATGTGGGGAAACATATAGATGTCACATATTATATTTGTACGAGGAATTTTTAGATTGTCGAGAAATGTTATAATATTTAGTTTTTGTGCAACTCGCAAGTAAGGAGAATTTAAAAATATTTGGAAATTTTTTTTTTTTCCAAAAGTTAGAGTTTTGAACACGCAAGTATAATGGCTTGGGTATTATTTAGTTTGCAATATTTTGCACAGGCCTTTGCACAGACCTATAACTCGAACTTGATACGAATCCCTAAATCTGGAAGAACTGACTTCATGCAGCATCAAGCAATCGCGCGAACGTTCCCAGACCTTACTCGCATCAAGTTCGAGTGAACTACTGCATATGCACAGGCTGGCTATGTTGGCCAACAGCAATATACCGGTTATCAATTTTAGAGGGGGGTAAAGTGAGTGGCGCACTGCACTTTGCACGAAATTGGATGCAGATGTAAAATGGGATATTTTTGAAAATAAAAAGCTTCTATTCTCGTAATTTTTTATATGTCAATAAAAAAACAGTATTAGAAGGCATTGGTATTTGGTTGGTAGATTGGTCAGGATCTACAATAGATTTTGCAGGACACAGGATGACGTTCCCATTAACTAAAAATAGAGAGTGAGGTATGTAGAACACAGAGGAACACAGTGAAATGAATATAACTGGAACACGAAGCTCTCATACTGCCTCCTCCGCAGGCCCTCGTTGCGTCATGGGAAGGTCACGATCTGGCGAGGGCCTGCGGAATCTTGTAAAAAAAATGGCGCCGGCGTTACGTCAGCAGTAAATTTCTACATAATCTTGAATATAAATAGATATAAAAAAGCGGCGTGAAACTTGTAAATTAAACTGGCGACTCTAAGGACGTGGAAGGAAGCATTTTTTAACGATAAGGTTTGTTGTCCACACCAACGTTGCACTAAAAAACTGCCTTCTTTAACGAAGCAGGTTCAAAACAACATTTATTCATTTTACAAGATTCCGCAGGCCCTCTTGAAATCGTAACCTTCCCATGACACAATGAGGGCCTGCGGAGCAGGCAGGCTCTCACACGCGCAGAAGCTCTGGGAACGAGGTTGGAAATTTGAAGCCAAACCATCTTCGTTCCCAGGGCCTCTCGGCCGAGCGCGACCTTCATAGGCCCTCAACCTCGTACCCAGGGCTTCTGCGCTTACGAGGTTGCATAGGCCCTGGGCATTCTCGTACCCAGAGCCCTTCTTACGCGCGTTGCGTAAGAAGGGCTCTGGGTACGAGAATGAGGCCCTGTCAATCTCGTTCCCCGAGCCAGCGATCCTCGGGAAGGAACGTGAGGCTCTGGGATCTGCCGTTGGCAGAAATTTTTTTTGGGATCACTTTATTTGGGAGCTTGGTAACCGCGCCTGTTATGATGCAATATAGGAAGCCTGTACAGCAGGAAATAGATTGCGGTCGAACACTTTGACGCGACTTATATTGTAGACCATTGTATACTTATTCCATAACCGCTGCGGTTTTGACGCATTATTCATCGTGTCTTTCCGAAAGCTTTGTACCCATAAATAAAATGTAATAAAAAGAGAACACATTACAAATTTTTTATAAAATGGATCAAAATATACCATAAATATCGAGATATTGAATATGCCAGTATAAAGGTCATAAGTTCGTGCGTATTCGAAATATAGACATATTATTTGCAGTTCATTTAAACTGATAGAAACGTTCAAACGTTCACATTCAAATTATTCAATTAGGTAAAATTAACTATGAATTTATTTTAAAAGATTCCCTGTTTGTATTATATTGTGCACTACTAATACTGTGACACTGTGTAAGTCACAGATAGTCTCGGTTGAAAACGTGATGTTTATGCAAACCACGCACTCTGATGCTTATAGGCGCACTGATGTCAAGTTTGTCATTGATTATCATGAGTATCAAAATTGACAAATCAAAATTTGCCTGCGCGCAATGCAAAATGTGAACAAGACACGTTTATAGATTTTGCATTATCAACTGTAAGCTGAGGGCGATGCATAAATTCAGTTGTAGTAACTTTTAAATATTTCCCGCTAAAGGTTAATGATAATTAATGGTACTGATAGACTTTATATGAGTACCTGCCATAACCCCAAATTTACGTCAAGTGTCCCAACAAATCCAAATATGTACCCTGAATAAAAGTCGCGGTTACCAAGCCTCCCACGGAAAGTGATTCCAAAAAAAATTTCTGCAATCCGCATCCTGGCTAAGACCGAACTGCGCATTCCATATCAACGGCCAATCAGATTCCTCCCTGAAACGGATTACCCCAGAGCCTCAACGAGATTGTGGTACAATGTACTATTCAAGCACAGTCGAGTAATACTATTATTGCACGCTCAGCTGTAGCAGCGCTACCCAGATCTGAGTAGTTTGCCGTCTTTGCCTCTATTGACTCTGCTATAGACGTATATACTATCATGGCCGACGTGTCTGGCCACACTAAGGAGCAAAATACTTATCCAGATGACTACGTTACTGCTCACAAGACATTCGAAGCCCGGAACATTGATGAAAATCGCTTTGTTAAGTTTGAAGAGCGGGATACTCGAACCGTTCTAACAGTCGCCATGATAAAAACACTGTGTCATGGTAAGTTGAACTGTCCTAAATTAAAGCATGAGGTGCATGCTTAACTGACAGACTTTTTACATTCAAGATTTCGGGCGCCGCGCTTGATTGAACAGCGGAATGTTGAGGGAGTTTTAAATTTTGTTGAAGGTGGGAATTTTTAGAGAAAATAATATACATAGATCTATTATGGAAGGATTTCTTCTTGATGTGTCGCAAGACTTCGGCCTGATTCGACGACGGCGAAATTCGTCTCGAGAAATTTGTTGCGAAATATCGATGTCGATGGTTGCACACTTATGTAGTGTCATGAGTGATTCTATTGAATTTTCTCCCTTCTTTAATTTGCTTTCGCAACAGATCTTCACCAAAATAATAGGGTCAAAGTCGCCATTGAAGCTCGCACTTGCATTTGCTTGGAAAGCTAGGCAAAGAAGTAAATGTGTACACAAAACAAAACAATTATTTCCACTATGCAAATCTACAAGGTTAACTTAAGGGTCAATATAAGTTATATTAACGAAATATCGTTAACATAATTTAATATCGAGAAATAACCACAATATGCGTGACTTGTAAAATTCGGTACTTTAAAAATAACGGGTACTGTACTAGCTTAACCCTTTTCGCTCCTGAGATACTTTAATAGTTTCATTTGATGTGTAAATGAAAGTATGAAACGAAGGAATTTTTTATTAGCGTACCAATTAAGATTTTATCGTTTCCTGCACTTGATTATTCAAGTAGATAGGACCGTACTGGGATTTTCCCGGGAATTTTGTGATCACGTGATTGATGCGCGGGAGAACGGATAGGAGCATAGCATAGAATATTTCTATGGAGCATAGCCTGCCATAGCAGGTTGAAATTTTTACCTTAGTGCGTGGCGCTCGGGCATGCATCGAGTCTACTCAATTTATTATTATGACAAGGTTGGCAAGACTATTAACGGAAATTTATTACAACGTTTACTAGAGTATGAATATTTCGCAAATTACAAGCAAAAACAATATAAATCATTTCAAACACTGGTAATTTTACTACGTTCTCTCAAAGTTTTAACTTCAAAAGTTTATTCTAAGGATGTTGAAAAAGCGAATTATTTTCGGGGTTTTTGCAAAATTTTGTCAAAACTATGCTGGGGTCACGTACGTACCCTGTGATGTTGTCATATTTTTTAAATCTTGAAGAAGCGCTGATTGGCTGTTGTGCATGACTCCAGTACAACAGCCAATCAGCGCTTCTTCAAGATTTAAAAATATGACAACGTCACAGGCACAGAGTATACCACAGAATAGGAAGTTATACCAGAAGCGTAACTCTAGTCGTTTCCCTTATTGTTTGACGTCCACGAAAATTTCAACTCGCTCACGTCAGGCCACGCCATCCTGGCTGGTACAGCCGGAAGTTTTTATCAGGATTTGGTAGGTACAAAGTGCCGGTTGTACTAGTCAGGATGGCGTGATTGATGACGAATCGCTTGTAAAAACGCGGACAAATATTTGCTCGAGTTACGCTTCTGGTATAACTTCCTATTCTGTGTCTTTACTCTGTGTCACAGGGTACGTGACCCCAGCCAAAGATTATATAGATACCATAGTATCTAATCATTACCCCAGCATAGTTTTGACAAAATTTTGCAAAAACCCCGAAAATAATTCGCTTTTTAATTTAACATCCTTAAACTTTACTATTTTTCTATGTTTTTCAAATATTGGTCCGCATATCTTGTAAAATTTTTATCCGCGTTGACGGTTTTATTTGTTTTTAAAAACTGAAAATTCGCGTCACGTTGTCAAATCGCGTTCGGCCTGTATAGACCTTTAGAATGAACTTTTGAAGTTAAAACTTTGAGAGAATGTAGTAAAATTACCAGTGTTTGAGGTAATCGAACTTCAGCGCCCTATTATACGTGAATTACTCTGCGTATGAACAATTGGTTTTCATATTCGGAAAGATCAGGCTTTTAGCTATTGAATAACATGCTTTTCCTGCCAAGGGGAGAAAAAAGTAAGCATGTACGAGGCCGATTAAAAATGTTAGTCAAAATCGCATATTTTCACCTCTGTGCCTAATTAAAACAATGCATAACAAAAGAAAAAGCAATTAATCACGAACGCGTCGTAGCTTGGCTAAGAGTTTATTGTCTTTATTCCTACTTAAATAATAATTATGAATATGTGTGCAGTTTAATGAAGTGAAATTCATCAACTTAAGTCCTAAAGGGGGTTCATTTTCAATGGTTTTAGACCCAACTCTCAACGGTGAAAATATGTGATTCTGACTAACATTTTTTATCGGATTCGAATTTGCTCATTTTTTATCCATTTGGCATGAAGAAGATATCATTCAATAGCTAAAAGCATGATCTTTCCGAATGTGAAAAATCTCGTTCATACGCAGAGTAATTCAGATACAATAGCGCGCTGAAGTTCGATTACCTTTTTTTTTATACACCCTGTATATTGAATAACCATGATTCCCAGTTACATGTTTTCAGAAGTTAAGAGCCTCTAGATTGACCCCCTAGCTTGGACCCCCTAGCTCCAGCACCCAAAATCGAGTTTGTCTTGCCTTTCTCCAATTCTCCCACCCAACCACACCATTATACGCGAGTACTCACAACAGTTTATTTACATACAGCGAGCAAAATCGGCCCGACAAATCGCAGCGTGTAAACGTACCTTAACCGTAGCTTTAAAGGTCTTGCCACAGAGTAGAGACATACAGAGACGTAACTAGTGTACCCACTTTTTTGTGCGCATGCTCGGCAAGTTACTAGATGCATGCATCTGATTGGATGACGACCTTATGACAACTCACTTTAAACTTACTGAGCACGCGCAGTTGATCATTTTTCGCCAGGTCGCCTGAAAAAAAGTGGGTACATGAAAACGTAAGCTTCCGCAGTGTTTACAACGGTCAGTTACGTCTCTGTATGTCTCTGCTCTGTGGTCTTGCCAACCTTGTCATAATAATAAACTGAGTAAACTCGATGCATGCAGCATGCCCGAGCGCCATGCGCGAGGGTAAAAATTTCAACACGCATTTTTGGGCTGCCTATGATAGGAGTTGTATTTAGCTGGAGTAGAATGTGTCAAATTATACCTTCAGTCGAAATCAAGTTTTAAGTATTTTTTTTATATAATAAAAGGCTTAAGTATTTTGTTTTAGATTTTTTGTTCAGCTAGGAAAAGGGCGGCAAAAAATTTCAATTTGCCATGACTCCGACTCGACTTGAACAAGTTGTAGCTGAGTCAATTCTGCTACCAGTGGCGGAAATTCACTTTTTCCAGGGGGGGGGCAAAGCCTCTTAATTAAATTTCCGACAAAACCTTCAAATGTCCAACAACCCCCATTTGCACTCAAAAAGGTTGTTTTTGGCCCCCTCTTGGGTCAAAATTTCCGAAAATTCGTCCGTTTTTAGCACTGTTAGCTACAACTTGTTCAGGATAAATTCATCAAAAATATTATAGTTTGGGAAGAGCCTTGGAAGGGCTTGAAGAAATGAAAAGTAATTCTCGATGCAGATAGGCATGTTTTCTCTCGTAGGGAATTTTTTTAAGGCATTTTCACCTTTTTGCTCACCATATAACTCTTGTATCCTTTGACCTCGATCTGTTCAATTGATTTATTATTGATGTATTGTAAAGGAAAGTACCAGACAAACTGGAATGGAGTGGAAGTACTGAAAAGCTCGTTAGACTTGATTACCATGCAAGATTTATTTGGCCGTGAAAAACCTGCAACAGTCATTGAATTTGGTAGTTATACCGGGGGCTGTGCATTGTGGTATGCAGACTTATTAAAATGTTTTGGTGTAAAGTCTCACGTTTATTCTATCGATATTTCACTCGACTGCTTGCATAAAACGGCAAAAATGAGGGAGGATATCACCTTTATAAAGGCAGACGTCACGAAGGATATGGAGAAAGTGTTCCCAGAAAAAATGTTGAAGGTATTTGGCTCCAAATCAGTTTTGTAGATTATTGGGCGATTTTTTTTTAAACTCGGCTCTTTATATGAAAACCTGTGTACGTTGAAGACAATGTAATTTTGACAGTGAAAGTGGGACTTCCATGCAGATTTAAAAATGAACAACGCATTATTTAGAGCTTTTGCAGTTGGCATTAACTGCAACAAACTGTATGTTTATCGTAGGAGCTGCCTCATCCCTGGTTCATCTCTGAAGACTGCCATGTCCCATTGGAATACACGTTGGGTTATTTGGAGCCATTTATGGAGCCTGGGGACTATCTGTTAGTTGAAGACACACACCCGTCATTTTGTGCACACACTGGCCAAGGTAATAATAGTCTCCATGATGTTTTGTTGATATTCAGAGGTTGATATTTATCATTTATAGACCCGGAGCGTGGGGGATTTGGCGGAATATTACCTGAAGTGAAGATATTTTCCGAAGATAACTCATACTTGTTAATATTGAAATATTTCGGTTGTTTCGGCAATTTTTATTAAAGTTTTTATTGAAATTTCAGCATCAGCAATATGATACCTTACTTCCCGTCACCCCTTGCGCGCATAAATTAAAAGCTGGAATTGCCAATTGAATGGGGCCCCTGGCTTGAGCCAGGCTGCGCCCAAAGGAGTTACAGTACGCCACTGATTTATTAATTTAGCATCACCAAACTAAATAACATATTTGATTGTTTTTCATCAGGTCTGTACACTCCTGGATTCGACGAAGTTGGTTTCGAAAAACTCAATGATTTGACAGAGTTTCTAAAATCCCGCTCGGGAAAATTCGTTGTCGACTCTCATTACACTGATTTCTTTGGGTAATTAAAACTTGAATTGTTTACAATTTAAAGAATATTTCTTTTAATGGCAAATTTGTCAAAAATTTAAACTTTCTTTATAATTACTATGTTCTATACTGAATTGATAGTATTACACGCAGTGGTTGGCAGAACTAAATTTGTTCAACTCTTCCATATCTAGTCTATCTAAGGGTCCTGAAGAGGGGGGGGGGGTCTAGAATCTAGATCACTGACTCTTAAGAGCATGGTGAATGGATTTTCCCATTTTCATTTTTGTGTCTTTCACTCCCAGTCACAATAACCTAAATTCCATTTTCACAGTCCAAAAATAGGGAAATTGCAGTTCCCATTTTACCACCTTAGGACCCTCGTATCAATTTGAATTTGTTGTTCTTTTTTCAGGTATAATGGTTCTTCAAGTATGAATAGTTATCTAAAGCGTGTTTAGGTTCATTGGATTAAATCTATAAGCGTACGAGGCTGATACTCAGGGAGGGGGGAGACTTGAATGTTTGCCCGAATTTTCATTGAAGATTGTAATGAACATACCAATCATACGAATATTCTTGCTTATTCCTAACCTTAGTCCGAATTTCCATGGTTTTCTATTTTCTTTTAGTTATTTATTTAGTTTTTTTTTGGGGGGGTGGGGGGTGGGGGTGGGCAGTTGCCCCCTGTCTCGTACGCCTATGAATTGAATTGAATCGATTCAATAACAATGCTAATTTGTAATTTTTAATCAAATGTGTTAAGTAGTGGGTTAGACACGCTGATAATTACAAGATTTGAAGAATAAAGCATCTTTTTACTTTACTAAATTTTCCATGCCAAAATGTTTTTGATGTATTGCAAATTAATATATCGGCAATTCCTGAGCGTGATGTGATTTGCTTTATCTCAAATTAAAAGTCAGAACTTTGCTGACTTGTGTAATGTGATAAGTGAAGAAGCGTCGTCATTTCCGCCCACGAGCGTCTGTGACGCAGGCTAATCAGAATCAACTACTCAGATCTGGGTAACGCAACTGGGCAACAGAATGGGAGCCGACACTGGCCATTCACTTGTTTCCATCGACCAAACTGACGCATTTGATCAATTTCTAAAGTTGTTTCTTTTTTAATTTTTTTAGTTATTAATTGGGTTAGAGTTTGGGTTGCGGTTAAGTAGGGGTTTATAGAGTAGGGGTGGGGTTTGGGTCAGTTACATAGCCATTTAAAGGCTAGTTTCCACACAGGAAAATTATTGGCATTGCATAATGTACTTTATTCTGGTGAACCAAATGCTATTTACGTGAATTTTAAACCATTTGAAATTACGCATGAACACAATACAAGATTTTCGTCGAGGTGTCGAAGTGATAATATGTTGTTAGAGAAACCTATGTTGAAGAAGAAAACCTTTTTAGCTCGGGCTTTTAGAACCAGAGCTATCGATCTATGGAACAATTTAGACTGTACTATTAAGCTCATATCTTCGGAATCTATGTTTAAGTCTGCTGTTCTTAAACAGCTAGATTGGTTTATATAATTATAATTTATTGACTATTTTAACTTTTAACGTACTTTAGTAATTTTTACGAATACCTAGATTTATATAGACTTTTTATCTTGTAGTGTAATCCTATATTTAAGACCTCGTGTAAAGTTAGCTAACAGAGGTTCTTTTTTAAATACAAATACAAAATACAAATCCGTGGATTGGAACGGACAAGAAAATTTTTCTTTGTCTTGTGAGCTCTGGGTTGGAACGAATGACTTTAACACGAAGAAAAATTTTCTTGTCCGTTCCAATCCACGGATAGTTTTCCTGAGTGGAAACTGGCCTTAACACCTCTTCCATCTTCCGAATAATCCGGAAATGACGTCATGTCAGTTTAGTCACAGTTTAGGGGCCGACCATTTAACTTTTGAGGGGGGGGGGGGTGATTTACTGCTGGCAGGGATTTTTTTTCTGGGATCGTTATGTTCAAGATATTTTTTTTATCACCATCACCATGTACGATATTTTTTTGTCACACTTTCTTTCGCAGCATTTTTTTTTCAATAGCTTATACTATTTAGATTATAGTTAACGTTGAGTTTTTTAGCTTCATGCATTGCTCTTAATAATACATTTTGCTATGAGGTATAACATTTGGTTCAGTGCCTTTTTTAAAGATGTGCAACTGGAGAGGACATAATTAGCGGGGGACCTGGAGAAGTTCCAGTCGGCAAGTCTGTATCCAGGGCCGTAGCTAGCATGTATAGTTGGGGGGGGGGAGGTGTATGCCAAAAATTTCCGAATGACAAAAATAATTTCCGAATATATCACGGCATACTATTAGCCATGAAGGTGTTTGCTATTCGGAAAATGAAGACGCAATTTACAATTAACAAAAATATGCATAATTTACGCACAGACATATTACAGAAGCAGTGCGGTGGATTTTTTGAAGCTCAGATAAGCTATTTCCAGCATTTTGAGGAGTTTTCCAACAAGAAATTAACCTTACACCAGTCCCTGAAAATCAAACCAGCTGATCTTCTGGGACTGGTCAAATCGATCCCTGCAACCATGCTGTTTTGCAACATTTTTTTTCCCACCAAATACTGGGGCAGGATATTTTTTTCCCCAGTTTGTTAGTGCAGGTATTTTTTTTGTCCAGAATAGCCTTGCAGGAAATTTTTTTTCAAAATCACCCACCCCCCCTCAAAAGTTAAATGGGCGGCCCCTTAGTAGATGCAAACAAGTGCTGACCTCGATACTGTGAAGTAGTGATGGGCGATACCAGGATTTTTAATTCGATACCGATACTTTTAAGATCGGTATCGGCCGATACCGATACCTATTTCGATACCAAATTACACACAAAATTTCAATTTTCGATACCGGAAGTGAGTACTAAATTGCTAGTATCGGCTACTTTCGATACCTGCCGGTCAGCGGAAAAACATTTTACATTACTGTATGTAAAATAAATAAAGCTATAAGTAACCAAAAGCCCGAAACGTAATAAATATTTTCTGTACATGACTTGGCGCACCACATTTGCAATATTAAGGGTTATTTTAGTGGTTCATTAAGTCTTATTCAACCAAGAAGTGAAATTAAACAAGTTGTTTAAAAAAGGGTGCAAGTAATAATGCAAATAATGCAAATGAAATAATGCAAATAGAAATCAATAAAATATCGGATTGGCTGAATATAAATAAATTATCTATAAACACGGCGAAAACTAAATTTATGTTATTTAGATCATCGAAGAAAAAACAAAAACATAATGTAACTATTTCTATAAATGAACAAATAATTAAGCAAGTTAAAGACACTACATTTCTAGGCGTTGTTATTGACGAGTGCTTAACCTGGAAAGAACATACTTAATTTAATCTCTAAAAAAAATTATAAAAGCATCAAGTATCATTTCCAGAATACGTCATTTTACCAATCTTAATACTCTGAAGCTAGTTTATTATGCACTGGTCTATCCATATCTGATTTATGGGAACCTAATCTGGGGTAATACGTATAAAACTAGAATTCAAAAGATAATGAATATACAAAAGAAAATTATGCGCATAATGACTTTTCAGTCATACTCTGAACACACTGAAACTATTTTCAAACATTTAGAAATACTAAACATTTTTCAAGTGAATGACTTTTTAACCAGTTTATTCATGTTTCGATATTTTAACTTAAAAAATTTACCCGAAGCATTCACCAACTATTTCACAGTTAATAATGATGTTCATCAATACAATACAAGGAAAAAATCACAGCTTCATAAATCTTATAAAAAAACCAATTATGTAAAACATACTCTTTCAAACAAGGGAGTTGATATTTGGAATGGTTTAGAAAAAAAATATAAAAATATTAGATCCCTTCAATCTTTTAAAAAAATAATTAAAAAGCACCTCTTACAAAACTGCAGCACTTAATCTTAGACTTAATAGACTAAACGACAATTTCATGTATTTTGAACTTCTTGAAGTTTCTATACGCATACATTGCAACTATATATATATATATGTATATACATATATGCGTGTATATATGTGTGTGTATATGTGTATATTATATATATGCATGTTAACATGTACTAGGTAGTGGTTATACATATGGAACGCCATACTGGACAAAATTACTTTAGGATTATATACGTAAAACTTCTCTCGCGCGTACATCTTATCTGCATTCTTGCAAGACTTGAATACACGCGTATAAAACATCATGCTTCGCGTGTAAATCGGCTACTGTACTAACTGTGCGCAATACTTAGAAATATCCCCGTAAGACTTCTAAATGTGGTCCGTAAAACTTCTAAATGTGGTCCGTAAGACTTCTAAATGTGGTCCGTAAGACTTCTAAATGTGGTGCGTAAGACTTCTAAATGTGGTGCGTAAGACTTCTAAATGTGGTCCGTAAGACTTATAAATGTGGTCCGTAAGACTTCTAAATATGGCCCGCGCGTAATAATTCTTCGCCGTAATTTAATATGAAAGTATTATATTTTTCGTGAAGTCCGTACATAATACTTGTTTACATGTTGTCTATAAACTCGAACGTTCTGTGCGTAAGACTTTTAAATAAAGAAATGTGAATTTGTAATGACTTTAGTTAACATGAAAACAAAACAATTACAAAATAATTGGACGCCATTATCAAATGTTCAGGAAATATGGAAGGCGAAATAGAAAGGGTTTTGCTAGGATTACCAGCTTTAAATGAAGAATGCGAAGTTCACAAATTCACAGACGACATTAATACTTGTGAAGTATACAGTTTGTGAACTTCGCATTCTTCATTTAAAGCCGGTAATCCTAGCAAAACCTTTCTATTTCTCCTTCCATATTTCCTGAACATTTGATAATGGCGTCCAATTATTTTGTAATTGTTTTGTTTTCATGTTAAAGTCATTACAAATTCACATTTCTTTATTTAAAAGTCTTACGCACAGAACGTTCGAGTTTATAGACAACATGTAAACAAGTATTATGTACGGACTTCACGAAAAATATAATACTTTCATATTAAATTACGGCTAAGAATTATTACGCGCGGGCCATATTTAGAAGTCTTACGGACCACATTTATAAGTCTTACGGGCCATATTTAGAAGTCTTACGGACCACATTTATAAGTCTTACGGACCACATTTATAAGTCTTACGGACCACATTTATAAGTCTTACGGGCCATATTTAGAAGTCTTACGGACCACATTTAGAGTCTTACGGGGATATTTCTAAGTATTGCGCACAGTTAGTACAGTAGCCGATTTACACGCGAAGCATGATGTTTTATACGCGTGTATTCAAGTCTTGCAAGAATGCAGATAAGATGTACGCGCGAAAGAAGTTTTACGTATATAATCCTAAAGTAATTTTGTCCAGTATGGCGTTCCATA